TTCACCCCCTCCTGGTTAGTAATTCTTGGGCTCTCAGGTAATATAGTCCTTGAATGAGTCAAAGATATTCAAAAGGATCACATATAATTAATGGAAGGAAATTAGAAATCAAAGGAGTGTCAAAGTGTTGCACAAATTTTGCTTCAAACTCTCAATCACAAGTTGCAACACATTTTTGCACATAGAAAATATTCGAATTTGGAAGATATTATTCCAAAAGAATTGTAGCTCTTTCAGTTATCTTTCCAACACACTTTGAATCACCTCAATTTGACATTGAAAGAGGATGTTATGATGAAAATACTAACCACTACTCAAGGACAGCTTGTTGGCCACGAGCCTGGGCACTCAAGTGATGGTTCAACAATCAACTCTTCGAGTTTGTGTGAAACACTGGTTTTTCAGTCAATTTTCATCACAAAACACCTCCATTATAAATATATAGCCCCATGAGCATCCCAAAGGTGTGTTGTATCATTATTTCACATTAAAGATCACATTATTGAAGATCAAACACACATTCTTTGATTTATTGATTCAACCTCAAAATTCATTATTTTATATAGTTGTTACCAAACATTTTTCCATCATTGGTTAAGCCTTGAATCAAGTCAAGAGATTACACGTTGAAGATTATACCCTTATTCTAATATCTCTTGCCTCAGCCATATATCAAAACACAGAAAGATCTTTGATGAAGTACCAAAATAAGCCTTACCTTCTCCAATTAACCTTCAGAGTTCTCAAGTTTTGGAAAAGAGGGACTTGGAGTTCCGGCGCTCAAGAATGAGGTTCATTGTTGATCCATATGGAAAGAATAGTAACTTGGAGATCTAAGAGAAGTGGGGACGTGCACAACTAAAGGAATACCTCAATGATTTATAAATTAGGTGGTCAGAGTCAGTTAAGATTTAGCAGTGTTTGAACTAATTGAAAGTTAACTATTTTGGTGGATTTTATTGGCAAGCTTGTGAAGAATTTTCAAAGGGTTTTTCCTCCGTGATCATATTTGGTGTTATTCATTACTTTTTTTTTATTTGATAGACACAGAGGTTTAATTCAATTAATTAAACTTAATCATCTAGATAACAATTAATAAGTAACTTGCTACTTTTAATTGTTTAATTTCGCATACATCTGCTAATTATTGATTTTAATTATGAAATTTCAAAATTTATATTCATAATTACTACAAGCCTTAACACATAACCATAAAATAGGAAAACTGTAACTCTATGTGGAGTTGGAAGTCATGTTGTACGTTGACTGGGTTAAATAGGGAAATTGCTAATGCCGTTGAATTGCAACACTATGTGGATTTGGAGGACATGTTGCACATTGCCATGAAGGTGGAGAGACAAATGAAGAGGAAGTCATGTTGTACGTTGAATTTAAATAGGGAAATTGCTAATGCCGTTGAATTGCAACACTATGTGGATTTAGAGGACATGTTACACATTGCCATGAAGGTGGAGAGACAAATGAAGAGGACGGGGACAGCTAGGCAACAATTAGGTTCTTCGATTTCTAATCCATCTTGAAAGTCGAGGTGGGATAACATCAAAAAAGGGAATGGGGCTATACTTAAAGGTAAGAGTGATTGGCAAAAAAGCAAGGAGGATGGCGCTAGCAAAACAATACCAAAATCGGAGTCGCAACCATCCAGGAGTGGAGACATCAAGTGCTTTAGGTGCTTGGGGTCGGGGCACATTGCTTCGTAATGTCAAAATAAAAGGGCAATGGTGTTGCGGGATAATGGAGAGGTGGTGAACGAAAGTGAAGGCGAATATGATGACATGTCCGCATTGGAAGAGGTTAGTGATGGTGAAAATTTTGAAGGAGTTGTTGTGGATTTACTTGTCGCAAGGAGAGTTCTTACTACTCACATCAAGGCAGATGACTTGAAGTTGCAGTCGGACAACATCTTCCATACTCAATGCCACGTTAACAATACAGTATGTAGTGTAATTATTAGTAGTGGTAGTTGCACAAATGTCGCTAGTGTAGCACTTGTAGAGAAGTTAAATTTAACATTGTTGAAATATCCTAGGCCATATAAATTGCAATGGTTAAATGAAAGTGGAGAAGTTAGGGTTAATAGAAGTGTGTTAATAAATCTATCAATTGGTAGTTATCAGGGCGAAGTAATGTGTGATGTGGTACCGATGCAAATAGGGCATATTTTATTGGGGAGACCATGGCAATATGATAGGAAGGCTATGCATGATGGGTAAAAAAATTGCTACAATTTCGTCAAGGATGGGAGGTCTGTTAATCTTGTACCATTACCACCGACGCAAGTCCATGAGGACCAAATTAAATTAAGGAATGAGGAAGAGAAGAGAGTAAGTGAGTTAGAAAAAATGAGAGATATGTATGAGCGAGAGAAACAAAGAGAAAACTGTGAGAAAGAGAACCGTGAGATAGTAAGCAAGAAAGAAAATTGTGAGGTAACTATTAGAGAGAAAAAGAGAGAGGAGCCACATTTGAGAAAAGAAAGAGAGTCTTCCGGGAGAAAAGAAAAATCACGAGCAAATTCCTTTGCAAAAGGAAGTGAGTTGAGGAGGGCAATAATCGAGAGGAGAGAAAGACGTTTTTACTGTTGAGGAAGCTAACACCCCCTCCCTAGTTTGGCTAAACCTGTTTTACAGAAATTCCAAGACGTATTTCCGGAGGACATACCGAGTGGATTACCACCTATCGAGAAATCGAACTTCAAATTGATTTCATACTGGGAGCAGTTATTCCGAATCGACCAGCTTATCAAAGTAATCATGAGGAGACAGAGGAGCTTCAGAAGCAAGTGGAGGAATAGAATGGAAAAGGCTATGTAAGGGAGAGTATGAGTCCATCTACCATTCCAGTGTTACTAATGCCAAAGAAAGATGTGGCATGGCGAATGTGCGTGGATTGCAGAGCCATCAAAAATATAATGGTAAAGTATCATCACCGTATTCTAAGGTTGGATGATATGTTAGATGAATTGCATGGTGCTTGTACTTTTAGTAAAATAGATCTTAAAAGTAGGTACCATCAAATTCAGATACGGGAAGGTGATGAATGGAAAACGGCATTTAAAACTAAGTATGGTTTATATGATTGGTTAGTTATGCCATTTGGACTCACAAATACACCGAGCACTTTTATGCACTTAATGAACCATGTTTTACGTGCTTTCATTGAAAAATTTGTTGCAGTATATTTTGACGACATTCTAATCTATAGCAAAAATCTTGATGAGCATGTGGGACATTTAAGTTGTGTGCTTGCAGTATTAAGAAATGAACAATTGTATGCTAACTTTAGAAAGTATACATTTTGCATGGAAAAAGTGGTATTTCTAGGATTTGTAATTAGCGCTAATGGGGTATAAGTGGACGATGAGAAAATTTAAGCTTTAAAGATTGGCCTACACCAAAAAGCATAATTGAAGTTAGGAACTTTCATGGATTGGTTAGTTTTTATAGGAGATTTGTAAAAGATTTTAGTTAGGGCTGGACAAAACTCCCGAACCGAACCGACTGAACCGAACCCGACGGTTCTTCTCAAGTTAAATATCCGAACGGGTATTTGAATCAAGAACCGACGGGTATGGTTCGGTTCTAGGCCAAGACCCGAAGAAACGAATAAGAACCGAATCTCCGTAATTTTTTAAATTAATTTATTTTAAATAAGTAAAATTATTTTATTTTTTCTAATATAAATTTATTAACTAGTTAATTTAGTTCAAACCACAAAATATGATTTTTCTATTTCTAATATTCACTTCAAAATCGACTTAATCAAATTGACCTCAATTTTATTTAAATCTGTTATTCTACTGTAGTATCGTTTCTATCGGAGAAAATCGAATTAAAACTCTACAACATCTCTCTTAATTATTTTGAGCTCGCTATATTTCTTTTTCTGTAATTTTAATAATCAAATTTATGAAGAATTCAGTAAAGAAAGGCGTAAAACACATAAGATTGAACTACGTTACTTTGTAAGAGCTAATATGAAATATATCATTAATTAAATTAACGTAACTTTGTATACATCAAAAAATTTAATTATAATACGGAATCGAATGAAATCGAACCGGACCGAACCGAACGGAATGGAACCAAACTCGAACGGTTCTGTAATTAAATTTGGACCCGACGGTTCCATTTACTAAATACCCGAAAATTTCGGGTCGATTCACTTCTCATTAGAACCAAACCGAACCATGTCCAGCCCTAATTTTAGCACAATTACTACACCACTTACAGAGGTCGTTAAGAAAAGTGTGGATTTTCATTGGGTTGATGAACACACTACAAAAAAAAAAAAAGAGGCTCCCGTGACCATTTTTTTGGTCACTAAAGGTCCATTTTTGGTTGCTACAGAACTACAGCTACTAAATAATTGTGGTCGCCAACTGGTCGCTAATAGACCGTCGGTGAAACATTACAGCGACCAACTAGACGTGGTTGCTGGATATATATACTACAGTGACCAATATTTGGTCGCTCAAATGGGAAACCATGGTCGCTGGTAAGCATAAAAATGGGAGTGACCGTCCTTTGCAACCAACTCCGTGGTCGAGGAAGGCATTATATTTGGTTGCTAAATGTCTATAGTGACCTAGTGTTCGTGGTCGCCAATCCACCATCTATAAAGGTATTTAGTGACCAATGGAAGTGGTTGGTGAATGGTAGAGATTTACCGACCAAGTAATGGTCGCTAAAGGACTAGATTTCACCACAAAATTCATCCTTTTGCAACCAATATTTGGTCGGTAAAACGCAAGTGGTAACCATTCAACAACCAAAAAAATGGTCGGTAAAGGGATTGGTTAAATTTGCATCCTATCACGACCAAATGTTGGTCGGTTAATGAATTAGCGAGGAAAAAAAAAACTTTTGCCATATCACAACAATCAATATTTGGTCGATGAAAAGACAAATAAACCAATATTTGGTTCTATGACAATTAAAGCACAAAAGAACATAAGAAGAAGAAATTAACAAACAATAACTACAAAAGAATAATTGCAATTGCATATAAAAGAATTACAAATAGTCATTACATAACTTTAAATGTCCTACAATTAATTACAAAATATGTCATGCACCCTAATAAAAAATGAGTCTACACTTTAAACACAAATGGTGTACAATAAACAAAAAGTAAGCGATTCTTTCATCATCTTGCATCATAAGCATCCCAATGATCACTAAACCCACAAGATAACCGTTCTAGAAGAATGTGCAGGGCACCCTTTGTATATCAGAGGCGCTTAAAAAATTTTGTCTTTAGGCTCCGACTTTGAAATTTTTCCGTGAGCTTCAGATGTTCGCTGTTTCCAACCAAAAATAAAAAATAAAAAATGCACAAGTGATGATATCACCAAGAAAGGGGAAAAAAACAAAGTAATGATAAGAGATCATTAAAGTGTTGCCATATTCATAAGAAAAACAAGAGGGAAAAAAAAAAGTATTCATCAATAAAAAGAGCTGAACTTTAATCTCATGTTCACTTGTAATTCCATGTTTTAGCACTTTCAATCCAAGTATAAATTGCTGCTTATAGCAGTTGGTTAAGATTGAAATAATATCAAGCGAAGCAGAAATGGGGGTCACAAAAAAATAATAATCTCACAGGATAAGATGTAGAAAACATCATCTCTGAAATAAAGGACATTTTCAATCACTTGGCAACTCGTTCTTCACATGATACATAAATTTGTTCCAACAAATCAAATTCTTCATTCTAGCAAACAACTAAGATGTCATAAAACCACAACTTAACAGGTATTCAATCACTTAACTTTTCTCTGAATTCAGAAAGAACAAGTGATTGCCTTCAACGTATGTCATCCTTAACTGAGGTGCTGAAGTTGAAAAATGTGAAAGGACTCTACACATGACTGTACGCAGTTAAAATAGTGTTTGGAAGGACACTCAGCTATCCTTGTCCACGAGATTATAGAAAGTTTAAGTAATAATGATCTTAGATTTAACAGTTGATAGGACCTAGACTTGGGAACTCTGAGGTCCTAATTCTAAAAGCATCCTTAATATCCCCTTATGGAGCTCTAAATAATAGTCACCAAAGAACATCTGCCAGAGAATGGATGAAAGTTTGTGTCATGCAAACTGAAAATCCCACAAATTAGCTATGAAAAACCAAGAGTGGATAAGGGCAACTAAAACCCTAGTAAGCTATATTATCAAATCTACTCCCCACAAAATAGTTTTAAAATCTTGCATTTAGCTGATTCCTGAATGCTTGGGTGTAACTTAACTAATAATCTCCATACCTTCCTGCATTTGGTTCCTCGACAAACGGACAGTAGGACCTTGGATCATAGTCTGAGTTTTTCGGATCACTTATTCTTATTGCTTAAATTTGTTTGTCACGAAAAATGAGGGTCAATTTTTACTTCATTCTAGAAAAACTAGGATCTTGTAAACGAATGTTAAATATGAGAATATTGATACCATTTTTCCCTGAGTTGAAGACCATGCACGTTGTCAGCAACCACCACTTAACAGGTTCATTGTTGGCCTCAGGAATGGGCTCTGACTTTTTATATGGTTGCACATTACCGTAGTTCATAACTAATAAAACAGTAGTTATTAGTTAATTGCTGCCAGGAAAATATGTACAAAAATGAAATGCTTGGCCCATGCTGAAGAATGATAGTTTACCGTAAAGTCCACGACCCATGCTGCAATCTGATCAACATTTGGCTTTAGATATTTCTTTCCATCATTTGTTTGTATGATTATCAAAGGAACCTGATCGTCCTTAATTCCAAAAATGCTGTTCATAGAAACCAGCAATATGACAAGTTAGTAATGAAATGTAAGCAAAATAGCAAGTTAACCAACCGGAAGAAAAATATGTACATTAAACCTGGAAAGCACCTTGACTACCATAGGTCCAAATTTTTGAACTTGCCATATTTTCCTTATAACTTCAGTAATATAATCACAATACTACGGCACCAACCGATGGAGGTGGTGGAGGTGGAGGTGGCGGAGGCGGATCATTAGTCGGCCCAGTAGAAGGATGCTGACTCACGTCCATTCGTGCAATAATACTCTGGATAAGTAAAGCTTGTTGCTCGAGGCGCTATGTAAGCTGGCTAATAAGATTATCCTTGTCCTTATCATTCTGAGTAAGAAGTTCCAACTGTTCCGTTTTGTCCTTATCCTTCTGAGTAAGAAGTTCCAACAGTTCTATAACTTTGGAAGGAGCTTTCCTTGTGTTGATATATGACTTGTGCGGAGCAGGCCCAATACCAGAAATAGTTCCAGCACTCCTACCAATAACTTGAGCGCGTATTGCTGTTTCATCCATGATGGATGCATGATCCTCTAACTGTAATTGTGATTGTTGCAACTCTACCATCTCTTTCTGCCATAAAAAATCAAAATGTTATCAAAATAAATAATATTTATTATAAAATACATTAGTGTTACAGGTAATATATCTTACGTAATGCGACTCGACTAGTTGGTTATCCCGTCCTTTTGCTGTTGAATGCATCCTCCTAAATAATTCGATGGGACCAACTGGTTCTTCCTGTGTAGACTAAGAAATATGAAAAAATAAAACTTTATTAATCATCATAATAATGGAGCAAAATTACATCATAAGAAACAAAAACACATACTCGAAAATGGCTTTGAATTTGTCAGGTAAATGCACAAAATAAACACATAAGACAGTAGTGATTTTAATTACCAGTGCTTCCCTAGTTGCAACGAAAGATATTGTCCCACCATGATGATTATATGGAATTTTTGCTCGGTTACGTGTCGCGGCTGCAGAGCGCTTCTATAAAACATAACACCATAAATTAATTAATTAGGTAATACATTCATCCAACTTACTGAACAACATCATAAAGTAATATTGAAATGCTTTAATACCAGAAACCCCTCGCTTTCGAAGTGTGCACACATCCACTCCCAATCATCTTGTGTTTTAACGATAGACGGCTTATGTTGTATTGGATCCTTTCCCTCTAGCTTCAATTCTTTGTATTTTTTATGACATGTACTTCGATGTTCTTTGTACCTTTCACGACAATGTCTTTCAACAATTTCGAACATTTGTCCATCATTTAAATCAACATCAAATTTTTCTTGCAGACGCCTATGGGCAAGTTCCTTGTCATGAGGAGTTGCTGCACTCCAACCAGTCAAGCGCTGAGAAACGACATTCTGCATGATTATGCCAATTTCATTAGCAAACAGAGAGGAGTTCACACCAAACGTGCGCATATCTCCCTCTTTAGCTTGTACAATAAGCTTTTGCTTACACCTATCCATTATTTTTTGTGAAGCCAGTCTACGACTAAGTCCACGCATTCTTTTACGAGGAAGAGCTAAAACATATTTAAAGAAAATTAAAGTTAAAGGAAAAGCAAGAATCATTTTACAATATATTCAGCTTGCATTAAATTCATACCATTGGATGCCTCATGGGCAGGAGTCGATTGAGCTATCGTGTTTACACCAGAATGGGTTGTTGAAGGTGCTGAAACGGGAAGAGGTGATGGAATAGACTGCTGCCCTTGTTCGTGATGAGATGGGCTTCGATTACTGGAGTTTTGAGGAGCAGCAGATGCTATAGGTGGGATGTGCTTAAACTTTCTTTTTGGCGGCATCTATATATGCAGGAACAAAACAACAATTAGAAGACGAAAATTGCAGATTTCTGCTGTTTTAGATTTCTGCAAGAATGATGGACAATCCTAGTCTAAAAAGAAGAAATCATACTGTAATAGTGAACATCAATAGACTTGGCATAAACCCAAGATACAGGTATACAAAACAAGAGAGGAAGAGCTTTCTGTTTGGAGAGAAGCATTTATTTAAAGAATAATTTCTTTTCTTTTTGTCCAGACTTCTTTTCCTTTAGGATAAATTCAGGTAAAACTGGAATAATTTCTTCTCTTCTTGTCTAAACTTCTTTTCCTATAAGATAAATTTAGTTAAAAACTGGAAGAAAATTTGAAAATCGATTAAAAAATATACTACCAGATTTGACGGGTAGAGAAATACAACCAAAATTACACTGTGCTAATTTTGAGTGATAAAGTCCAAAAAATTAACCAGCACAAATTTTTAGTCAAGTTTACAACACTTTATTATAAGTAAATTCTAAAATAAAGAACTGATCCCAATACACTAGTCATTTTCATTAATCAAACAGCATATTCTTACCTCGACATCCTCATTGTCAACACCAACAATACAATTAACATTTTCTATTTTCTTCTACAATTCCCACAGCCTTTGCATACAATAAATATTAAATATCTAGCTAAGTAATACATAGGAAAATATGGATCCTTTCGGATTGATGATTCATCTCTAATTCCTTTGCATATTCAAAAGTCATTAGCAACAACAAATAATGTAAAAGGTCGTCAAAAAGTGTACCATATACGAGTCTAGCAACAACCGAAAATCATAAAAACTTCGAATGTCTTAAAACAGAAAATCACAAAAACTTCCTAAACTCATTTAGTGGAATTGAAAGTATTTAAAAAAAAAAAAAAAAACAGAAACATTTATATTGTCAAAGAGTAAATTCATACCGTTCCAACTTTGGGGAGAATCTTTTCCACAGCAATAAAGATTAGTATGATCACTGCACACACAACAGAAAATGGATTTTGGAGATGGTGTTGCTTTGGTGACGTGGTCGAGTTCTGTCGACTGTGAAGCACTATAGCAACCGAAGTTCTGGTCAGCTTCAGATGAAGAGGCGAAGCGTTCTGGTCAGTTCAGATGAAAAGGCGAAGCGTTCTGGTCAGTTCAGAGATGAAGAGGCGGAGCGGCTTGAACCTGCAGAAATTCAAACTTTACCTTTACCAAATGGGTCTCAATGAGTTTAGGGTTAGAATTATGGATTAAACTATTTGTACATAATTTTTTAAACAATGATTTACACACCCGCCGAGGGGCGGCCAAGGGGTGGGCGTGTAAATCATTGACCAGAATTATATTGCCAATGACTTTTATCCACATTGTTGGGCCAGCCGGGTCGGGTAGTTTCAAGTTTGTGTTGAACAAATTGTAAATTTGTTTATAAGTTTTTAAATTGTAATCAATGAACTAATTGTTACCTGTAAAATCTTTGAATAGTGATCGTAAAATAAATTGTCACATAACAAAATTCTGATTTCTGATTGAAAAATAATATGTAATTAATTAAATCGTTAATTTTTTAACAAAGCGTATAGTTATGTAACTGTAATATATTTAGGATAATTATATTACCACTACAAAAATTGTTAAGCTCACCACATTTTTTTTATTTACATAAATAGCCTTAAATGAATTTACATAAGTGGGTTTTTTATATATTTCTCACATAAAATAATTTATTCTTCTACCACAGTCATAAAAACTTTAAAAATTTATCTTCTATCTCGTCCGTCACTGGATTCCTCGAAAACATACTAAGAGAACTCTCTTTAAATTTACCACCAGTGAAACCAAGATCAACATACATAACTAGGGTCAAATTTTTATCTTGGCTAGAAGATAGATACAACCCTTGTACATTGTCAATGACTTTTGAAGTAATCTCTAGGCCTTCTGTTAAAGGATCATCAATGGCAAATGTGGTGCCGAACGTGGTCGAATCGTTCGGTTTCCCGGTAGCATTAGCACTTGCCACCATCACTGCCGTGGGTTTATTCCCACTAAGGGTGTCATGGAGGAAGAAATGAAGTTGAGTTTTTTACAGCTTCACTGGTTCATATAGTTTACTTTGCACCGAATGACAAGAGTTGGGATGATAACGAAACTTTCTACACGCCATATGGTTTTCTTCTAGAGAGAGATTTTGCTTATGTTGATGAATACACCACAAAATTATCCTTTTTAATTTCGTTTGTTGGATTTGTTGTGGTGCAATTATCGAAAATGGATTTAAATTGTGGTGTTATTATAATGTGGCATGGTTAATAAGTTTTGTGGTGATAATATAATTACTCATATATTTAATTAATAAAATATATAATTAATTAATTAAATTGTAAACATCGAGTCATAAATAGACGAAATCGTAGAAGCAGTGGGAATTCATTTAGAGGATACAATGGCCCGGTTTAATCTCAAAATAAATGACAGTGTTGACTTTCTTCAGTATAACGAGATGAGATGTAGCTTGTCAATTTGAATCCAATTCTTTAGGTATAACTTTTGTTGATCACATTTTGACACGTAATTTGTCCTTTCTCACCAGTTCGTCATAAGATTTGGTCTAATTCTGAGAAAAACTATTTTCATTCTTCCTTTCCCGAATATCTTACAAGACCTATCTAAGAGAGCAGGGGTGCTTCTCGAGAAGCAATCATACGTTCTTTTCTTCATAACGAGTTTCCTTTTAGAGTTGACATGCTTCCTTAAGCTCTTAGCATTATCGATATAACTCTTGTTAGAACTATTTGATTCTTAATTGATTTGGGCCAAAGTTCTAATTGAAACCACCGAAAGAACCAATGACAAAAGACGGTCTTGATCAAATTGTTTTCAAATCTTTGTGGTTCAGTATGATGCGATTAAAAATTGATTGGGTCGGTTTTGAGTGAGTATTGGCCATGACTCTTAATGGCAATTGTGTGGATCATGAAATTGATCATAAAATTCTCATGTGTGGGACATCATACTTTGAACATGTAGCGGATTTGTCACTTCTAGGATAATGGCGGATTTATTTTTTTATTGTTAATTGATTTGGGTGGGGCCAAAATGGATAATTGAAATCAAAAGAACCAACAATGAAACTTTGAAAAATTATACTCAGTGTTAAGCGTATTTGAAGATTGGTTGGTCATACAGCTAGAAAAAATATGCAGGATACAACTCTTCAATTTGTTTAGCAACCAAGTGAAAGTTGGTTTCCATGTCCAGCAACCATTATTTGGTCGCTGAAGTAGTTTGGGTCCCGCAACCATATATTGGTGGCTAAAACAGCATACAATTAAGGCGGGATTCTTCCCACCAAAGGTATTTAGCGACCATAGTTTGGTCGCTGAATGGCTAAAATTTAATGCAAGATACTTCCCGCCAACTTATTTACCGACCAAAGAGCGTTGGTTGCTGGATATTGATTCCAGCAACCACGCATTGGTCGCTGAATACCTTAAATATTCAGCGACCACTTTTTGGTCGCTCAAGATTTCTAAGAATAGTAAAAAAACACGGGGGAGGAATCGCTCCAAGTGGTACTGCAACCAACTTCTGGTCGCTGGAGAGTATACATAGGCAGCGACCACAGTTTTGTCGCTGAATAGTTTTAAGAAAAGTAAAAAAACACGGGGGAGGAATCGCTCCAAGTGGTACTGCGACCAACTTCTGGTCGCTGGAGACTATACATAGGCAGCGACCACGATTTGGTCGCTGAATAGTTTTAAGAAAAGTGAAAAAAAAGGCGTGGAGGTATTGCGCCAAGCGTTACAGCGACCAAATATTAGTCGCTGAAGTGTTCAATATTCAGCGACTACAGTGTTGGTCACTGCATACAGGTATCAGCGGCCAATTTAAGGTCACTGGATGGTTAAATATACAGCGACCACATCTTTGGTCGCTAAAAGTGTTCAAATAATAAGCGGGATATATCCCGCCAAAAGGTATTCGTGACCAATCGATGGTCGTTGAAGGTTTAAGTATGCATCGACCACGTATTGGTCGCTGAATGAGGGGGTATAGCAACTAAGAAATTGTTGGTCGCTGGATAGTTGTCGCTGAAGGCCTTTCCAAAAAATATCCTATTTTAACATACCAAAACTTTCACCAACCAACGATTGGTCGATGATAATATCTTTTAGTGACCAAATTTGGTTGGTCGGTGGTGGCCATATTTTTTTGTAGTGACAAGAGCATGCATTTAAAATGATTAAGGATAAATTGTGTAAGGCACTTGTTTTAGCATTACTTGATTTTAGCAAAACTTCCGAGATTGAGTGTGATGCATTAATGATAGGTATTGGAGCTATTTTAATGCAGGGCAAAAGACCGATAGCCTATTTTAGTTAGAAGTTGAGTGGAGCTGCATTGAATTACCCAACATACGATAATGAATTGTATTCACTTGTTCGAGCGTTAGAGACTTAGTAGCATTATTTAGGCCAAAAGAATTTGTTATTCACACCGATACGAGTCATTGAAGCATTTACGGGGTCATGGAAAGTTGAACAAGAGGCATGCCAGATGGATGGAGTTTACTGAAATGTTTCCCTACGTCATCAAGTACAAGCAAGGTAAAAAAAATATAGTGGCAGATGCGTTATCTCGGAGGTATACATTGCTAACTTTTCTTGGTCTAAATTGTTTAGTTTTGAGCATATTAAGGAATTTTATGAAAATGATGTAAATTTTTTTTGAAATGTATAAATCTTGTGATAAGAGGGCTATTGATAAATTCTTTAAACACGAGGTTATTTATTTCAGGAAAATAAATTATGTGTACCAAATTGTTCAATACACGAGTTATTGGTGAGAGAGGCTTGTAGTGGTGGACTTATGGGATACTTTGGGATACAAAAGACCTTGGAGATGTTAGGTGAGCATTTCTATTGACCTAAGATGAAAGTAACACTGAGAGGGTTTGTAGTCGATGCATAACTTAAAAACGTGCTAAGTCTAGAGTTTTACCTCAAAGACTATACACACCATTACCTACTCTTAGTGAACCTAAAATAGTGCTATCTCTGAAAGTCTACCCAAAATAGTGCTATTTTTGTCAAATGTTTCGATGCCAGATTTCAATATACAGAAATTGGTGCCAAATTTCAATATTTTGAGATTTTAGTGATGTTTTTGTCAAAACTCTTATTTTTTAGATTTTTAAAGGTTTGAATGAATTTATATGACAAATAGTGAAGTCTATGTATTAGATAAATTATGTATAGGGGTCGTATATGTATAAGGTAATGATTTTAAGGAAGTGTGAGTAATTTAATAGATTTGATAATGTATGGTAATTAGTTGATGAATCATTAAAGAGAATAAAAGTTGGGGAATTGCAGATCTAAGAGTAAATATGGAAGTTGAGAAGTAAAATGGTGGATTTGTATCAATTTAATTGTCAGGTTTTAATTCGAGTAACTATACCGTTATTTTAAGTAGTGACATGAAAGCTTGGAAATGCTCGTCAATTTAGCCAAATTTCTATTCATAGATCTGCGAGTAGAAAAACTTAAATATTTTAAAAGTTTTTGTAAATTAAGTTTATTATTAAAGTATGAGTAATTAATCATTCGATTTTATGATTATCATGGAAATCTCTTTTTATTATGATACATGTGAGATTTCAAAGATTACTTTTTTTTAGCAAATACCATTAATGTAGCTCATTTTATATCATAAAAAATGAGAATACACATAAAGAGGGAGACGTGGACCTGACCTCCAGTAGGTGAAAAAAATTATAAATGTCTCAAATGAAGTGCAATTGACAATAAATGAAACGTGAATCAAAACTAACGAAGATTACTCAAGGATACTCCTGAGGATAAATCATTGGGTGTAGTATATAGACATTGAACAGGTCATGCGTCTGGTGTGAAACATTTCTGGGTCATGCTTAATGAAGAGGGGTCCCTCCTGGGTGAAGGGGCCCTTCTAGGTGAAAATTGTTGTCCAAGCGATGGCGTATTGAATGTCGGGCAAAAAGCAGATGCATCTGATCTCATGATGCTATTCATAGGTGCTACAATATCTAACGCATGTGAGAGTGGCTCGTTGATTGAAGGTACATCTGCCTTAATATTCTTCGAGCAATCTCCGAGATCCATGCCATCCATGTCACTCTCTGAATTTGAGCATCCACCTTATCCTGTCTAGGCAGTAGGGCTAGGTGATGATTTGTCATTAAAGAGCTTGCTAACCAAATCATAAATGGCATCCCTCATAGAAGCTGCCAGCTTGAAGCCACGGGTCTCCTTGAAGTGGTTGATCAACATCTACTTCGCCTGAGGTTTAGCTTTAAGGTCGGTCAATATACCATCGGTACCTGACATCTGTGGTGAATGAGAGCCCTCTGAATGTGTCTTGAAAATTAGGAATCGATTTGTATAGGCTTAGAGGGTATTATGGCACCTAGACTATCAGTAGTAATATTAGGGGGTGGTGATACCTCAGTAGGAGCCTCTAAAATAGGCTGAGCAAGTGGTTGATCAATGGGTACTATCTCTATTGTATCTTCAACCACTAAGGAAGCAACTATTTAAGTCTGAATAGGAACTCCTAGGGTACTCTCATGGATGATAGGAGGGATCTCTAGTGTAGACTCTACCATTGGGAGACCAACTAGTGTTACCCCTGTAGCACCCGTGGTGGGAATCAGGGTAGGATCTGCAAATATAGAAGCTGACTCTGCCACAACTGTAATAGGGATAGTGTGAAGCATAGGAGGCACTGCCGAAATTGGTACTCACCACTTCCTTAGCTCAACGAAAGCAACCTTACTTTGCCATTGTCAGCCGTATTAGTGTCAGTCTCAATAAGAGGATGAGGCTGAATTGGGAAAGGCACAACAACTAGAGGAGGAGGTGGTGGTGGTACCCTCGAAGTACACCGATCAAATGAGTGGCCGAAGTGTTTACAAAAAAAAAATAAAAATTCGATCGCTTTTCATATATGACTTCCTACCGGAAGCCGCGATTAACATCGCACTCAATCCATACTCTATTGGGCAACTTAAGCCCCAAGTTTACCTTTATACATAACCTAGCCTCGCTAGGTCGTCTCAGATCTGAGGTGGCCTCATCAATCATTAAGGAAATTCCTATTGTCCTAGATAAAGTAAAAAAGAACCCCTTGGCACGCAAATGTACCGGAAGTAAAGGAAATGAAACTCAAATAGGAAAAATTGGAGTCTCCTGCTTTGGTTTGAAATTACATGTCCACTTAAGAACCCTCATTGGACATCTATCAAGCGGCCTTGGTCCTGTTCTATCCTACACGAAGGGGTTTTGACCCGACATTGGTATATAATTCATAGAAAATCCTAGGCCATGTTCTACAATTGATTATCAGAGGTCATTGAGACCCACTTTTGTTCACAGAGAGGGCCAAAAGCACGTGGCGAAAATGCTTGGCCCTAGGGACGGATTTCATTTTTCAATCAGTAGGTACATTTTTTATGGATCGCATGTGATGTGATAAGATGATCATATAGATATCAGCTAATGGTTATATCGTGATTATGAGATGATATTTACATAGTTTTGGGAATGTCTCACTTTTTAGCTATAATTGTATAAATCCATCATGTGAATATTAAGCGATATGAACTTGATGTTTAATAAAAGAGTGAGTCTACATGTACAGACAAATATTTAACAGATGTTGTACAGAATACACACAATAAGGGGGTGGGTGATTTTTTTACAATAAAATATTCATGTGGGGTCCACCACCCCTTTGTGAGAATCTGTACACATTCTGTGAAAGAATTTTCTGTACACTTAGAATTATTCTTAATAAAAATGTTTAAATAAGAAAGTATAACTATTTTCGAACTCTTCCACTCTTAGCTATCAACTCATATTTTTCTAAAATTTTCTTTACAGGAAATAATTGATTCTTGATAACTTGAAAAGCCAGATAATTTCAGAGTTATAATCACACAACATTGAAGGATATAAGTCAATTTGATAAAATATGAAGTATTGACATTGGGCCCATTGCACTATGTTTTTCATAAACATTTGATTTTGACGCATAGTTTATAGTAACTCATAGTTAGCCTTGGTAGTGGATCTGGCATCTAGTCAATATGTACCATTGGCGTACGTCACGTATTGGGTTTATAGGGTGATTAGGGACGGGTCATGTCATTCATATATATATATATATACATATATATGTATATATATGTACATATATATGTATATATAATGGTTCTATTTTATCAATTAGTATTGGCTTCTTTTTTCTATATCTATGGATCCTAGGTTTTGAGTTGATTTGAATTTTTATGATGTTGAACTAATAACTTAGTATTGCTAATATTGGAATTATTTAGCATGCAAGTCTTATTGTTTGTAATTTTGAAGTTTTTGTATTACGTGTGACATAGCATGTCAATGTTTTAGACTCGCTTAGTTTAACACCATCTGTGGCATTTGAGATGAAGTATCATGCTGTAACTTTTAAAGTTTTATAATTGATTCTAAATGTCATAAGGCATTATCAGAGATATAACACATGCATAAATATGTGACATCTTTGATTCATATCTTTCACCCTTTGTTTTAAATGTAAATACCCAGTTTATTTAACAATTGCACTTCTACTTTTCAAATTACAGAAATTCGATTGCTTATGGAAGTGAAACATGCCAAACCAAACCGAAACATGATTTAAGATTGCTGAGAATCTTTTGAAATTTTCAATTGAGAAAAATCTATATGTTGACTAGGTTGAAATGCATCCATTTGGTACAAATAGTCTCACTGCATGCCCTATCTCAAGTGATATCTTATCAAAATAAGTATCATTCATGACACGTAGAAATATAAGAGGTCTTAAAAGTTAGCCACAGATACGTGAGGTCTTACAGTTTTCCTTGAATAATAAATATGATGATCAAAATGAGCTTTTGAATAAGAGAGATCCAAACTACGTATTTTGTCTAGCACTTGTAGGATTTCCCATAATGGGGAGTTTTTTCTTTCACAATCCATTTGACTCTGGTAACATATTTAATGTCATGTTTGCATCCGTGAATGCTGGGTATAGGGAAAATCATGTTGTCATGATTACTAGAATCTTCAATTATGGATGCAGACTGTGACCTTTTAATGAGTAGGTAGCACTTACAGCCCAAAGAAAGATATGAAATCCACTTGGGACATTTCATTCGGTATCTGTCATGCACAATTATAATTCCCAATTTTCATAACATTTTGAATATGGTGCAAACCAAAAAATAGAATCTATATTCGCCTTCAAGAAATTTGGTAGAGAGGTCATCTGAACTATATTTACTGCCATCAAATTCAATGCAAGTGTAGAGGAATAAAATTCTGATAAAAAGAAAATTCTAATCCACCATGTAAAAGCATAGCTAATTAACTCTTCCCAAATGATAACATCATCAAACTCAAGCTAATGATCATAGAAACTGTGAAGCCAAATCAAATCCATCGCTGAGATCCTCAAAATAAACCTCAGGTATATGAATTCTCCATCCTCAATTACAAGAGTGGGTATGAATTTATTGTAGCCTAAAAATGAAGCCAAGTTGCAAAATTTGTGCCATGAAAATAAATCTAGAAGTTGGGATAAAGTCCAGCCAACTAAATTTATAGGGGAAATTCCACCAGCTACCTTAAAAATTAAAAAAATTCCTTTTTTACATAACCAGGTTTTTTTAACCAAATTTACTGCAATATAAGTAAGTATAAGCAGAAATTCAAATTATAAACACAACCCCTCAAATAATCCACATAAAAGCTGAAATCATTCCTCCAAATACGCTCAATAAATCAAGCCCATAATCTCGCCCCATTTATGCCCAATTACTCTTGCCACATCTACCCCCCCAATTGCCCAGGTCATCCTGACATCCATCCTTACAGCATTCAAACCAAAAATTGAAAAATTAAAACCTCAGAATCTCCATTACACATCAAGAAATCCTCAAATCGTATCTCAATCCATGTTTATGTAATTTCTATGTCCACAAAATCGATTTCGAGCGCTAAAATCTCAGCATATTGCGATTCCTGCGTTGTTATTTCAACCAAGCGTGAACGATTCATCAGATTGGTGTGATGGTGGTGAGGTGGTTGGGTGTGGTGTGGTAATGTGAATCTTCCAGCCCTCAAGAAATCAGATGCAATGCTAATTGGCATCTTGGATGGGTTTCGTGGCATTAAGTTTTACTATTTGAGAGTGGGATGAATGTTGCTGACTCTCACGGAGGCGTTTCATATCTCTTGAAGAAAAATGGTGGATGCCTTTCCCAGAGGTCCCACCCAATTGTTTGTCTGAATTTTCACTTGCAATCTTCAACTCGACATGTCAGCATGTACTCACGTTTGTCGGACCATACTGGGAGCTATTGTGTATGGCATATAACGCGACTGTCTTCTTCATTAACTTCTTGTCACTGAAGACCTGGTTCTCTGTATCTATGTAGTCGCCTGCCCTTGAATCTCCAACATGGTACTCGACACTTTCATCTTCTTTCGACTGTAATTCTATTATATACATGCTTGCGACAAACTCCGTTATGTGTCTTCTTTTGCGAAATGTAAAAAATGTATCCCACTCCTACATGCGACGTTAATTGTACATGTTACATTTCATGGGCACGTGATTTAGTTCTATCATTATTATACGTCTCTTAGTATCACACACTTTGTTACATTTTGGCATTTTACCTACCTGTCAATGTGCACGAGTTCATTTAAACTATAACTACGAATATTAACCAAAATCAAGCTTTAGATTCACACAATCACGATTACACAATCACTTGTAATTGTTGATTATTGCAGAATTATCACTTCACACATTATCTCACACGATCCATTCTACATCATGGATGATGTACACTTCACAGAGGAGAATCTCGACCAAGTGGAAGAGATGGTAAACTGTGCCCTCAAGCTAAAAAGAAAGTGCGTCACTCAAGTAACTTATATCAGTTTCCGAGTTTTTCTCACCATCCAGGCAATTATTTTGACATCATTTTTGCAAAGCAATATGCTACATCGTTGTACTGATCAAAAAAATATATATATGCTACGTCGTTGCAATATATTTACCAAATTACCATGTGTCTTATATGACAAAGAGCTACAATATCTAACACTTGTGATTTGTACTCATATACTTCAATTTCTACGTTATCTAAAGACTATAATGTTGGTTTATTATTTTTTAGAATGATGGAAGAACATGGTCATTTCACATGTTTAGAACAAGGAGGACTTGGGCTCAGACCAAGGTGTGCAAGGGATGTTCCGACCTGATGCGCGACCAATCAACACTAATCTGAATTCTCCCACAATGGTGCTGATATGTTAATATATTTTGCCCAACTGCTTAGTAACTTAATTCATAACACTATCATTTTAAGTTGCGCAAATCACAATGATGCTTGTCATATATTCTAGTATATTTGATATGTTACTTTAAGTGCAAATTTCAGGACATAATATAGTAATACTACACAATAAGAACAATGTCATATTTGGCACAGATCACGCAACCAGCCATCTGAATCGACATTTTTGAGGCACGACCATTTGTTTGTACTGCTGTGCATAATGGTGAATTTAAGTGCATGACAAGCCAGCATCTTTGATGGAACTGAAAGTGTCGATCCACTTGTCGTTAATATAGTTAATGACATTCCACTAGATAATAACGAGTCTTTTACCATTCTTGAACTTGTTATGTTAATCAATCTAAAACACACTAAAAGTGTTAACTGTCTTTCATTCTATTACACAATTATGTGATTTAGTTATTTATTTATTTATTTACTCTGTGTGTGTCAACTAATATGTTCATTGCAACTAAGATTTACAAAGTATAATGATATAATTGCTTTTCTTTTGCAGCCATGATGACGAAGGTGTATTTGTGACAAAGTATGTGGAGTTCATTATCAATGAAATGATACATGATATGTTAGAAAACGTGGTTCCAATGATCACAAGGGCATACCTGGCTTGTCAACTATATAAATATGAAATCCAAAAGAGCAACGGATATTATGAATCAGATGTTGATCTCGTCCCAAGGAGCATTGGGAAAGCGATGAAGGCTAGGAATGTCGATAATATCCAGAAGTCAATCAAGGGGAAAAAATTAGTCTATTTTGTTGATACCCATCAAACATTTGTTGACGTCTTTTTACTTTTTTAGCCATGTTAGCAAATTTGTGCCTGATTTGATGGTGTTTACTTGAACAACTTTAGTAATCATGCAACGTCTATTATATGGCGGTTTTTTTTAATTGAAATTCAATACAATATGTTGGAACGTTAACTTTTTTGTTCCTTTAACCTGTGTAACTATTAGCCACAAAGAGATCAAGTGTCAACTGAATAACAAGGATATTTATACTGACATTTTGATACAAATCTAATAGTTGGTGATGAACATATGATTACAAATCACATTGATCCCAAAATCATATGAATCATGATTCGGAATTGATAAAAATATCTCAATAAAAAACGTAAAATTCACCACGATACACTACAACACATAATACTATTCGATATATTGAAATGATAACGTAAAAACTATTTATTGTTTGTGGTCATTAAATCCGTCGCTCTTTTACTCTTTTATACGTGACTCAACATGATACGTTGCTTATAAGTTTTCCTATTGTGTCACTTTCCCCCACTCCTTCCACACATTGTCAGGTACAATGCCTCCAACTTTGTTCGTCTCCTCGTCTTCCTTGGCCTTCCCGCCTGCCTCTTAGATTTAGGTGGAAAAGTATCATCTTGAGTAATTTTCACTATTGAATGTCCACTATGAAAGGTCTCCAAGTGGAACTATGCACCTAGTGTAAGTATCAATGTAGGACACTTCAGTGTGTCATCTGAAGCAATATTTATATGGTTGATATCCTTTCTCCCGGATTACAGCAAACACGTGTGGTCGACACAAAACTCCATCAAATTGAAACCTGTTGCATGTGCATTTCGTTTCCAGCCAATCAACGATATACTGCGTGTTCTCGTCCGACACTTGATACATAAAATCGTTTAGAGATGAGACCTAAGAAAAATGCAATTCAATTTTTAGCAACGATACGATGACAAAGATAATGTTTCTCCATGTGAAATGTATCAATATACTATATTCTGTCATGCTAGAGAAAGAATTAGGTATCAAAAATAGAAAGGCGGTCGCTATTGTAATTTATCATGTCACCTTTTTATCTCATTAGTGAAACAGAGCACTTGAATTCCAATCCTGCATATCTATGGTAGCTACAATTAATGAATAGCGTAATCTATGTGAAATTAAACGTGAATTCCAAGCCTAGATATCTATTTACCATTTCTTTTCCACTTTGAATAAATGACCGTAATTTCTGTAAGAGTAATGCTATTCGTAGTGAAAACTGCTAGTAGTCATCCTATATGACATACACTTGATAATTTGATACATATATATGATAGTGATTTTTTGAATTATACATCAAATGAAAAACTGTCAAGTATACGTCACATAAGACGATTGTCGGTATTCTTCACTGCAAATTACATTATTCTTTCTGTAATGTTGAATTTCAGTTACATATGAATATTTTTGGAATTGTTAAGGACAGTAAATCTGGAAAAAATATACCCACTATGTAGTATAAAATGGATTTAAATAAAGAAAGTAGTATTTCATGAAATATTTTATTATTGATGGGTATATATGAATTTTATCCAATTTTGTAACCAATGGTTTCTAATATGTCCAAGTGGGTAGCATTAATTTAAGTGGGACAGAGAAAGTACCACTCTAACTGTGAATATTTGTTTCTTTTGGCAGACAATATGGCTTGCAAAAGATGAGTGGATCTTCACACATGCAAGGGCCCGCCCTTTTTGAACCACGCTACACTACCAGGCCTGTAAAAGACCTGGTAGTGCAGCTCTCTCACATCGGGGTGGGGTGTGGAGGTTGGGGTGGGTTTTTTTAACATGGGGGACCCAGCCGAGGTGAGAGAAATGAGAGGAAAGGAGCTCTACCAGGCCTAAAAGGCCTGGTAGAGAAGCTTAATTCTTTGCTTTTTTCATACCCATGCGCTGTGCATATTATCAGCCAACCATCGGTTACCGGAGTTTTTCTTTATGAGATGCAGTGACTGTGTTCGGTGGCTTCCAAAGGCTTGGAGAACTCGACCGTCTCAATGATGACCTCGACTGTGGTTGCCAGAGTGGAAGTTGACCAAGGCCTTTCATAAAATAGGTGGAATGCGAAATAAAATTTTCGAGCCCAATGAATATACCAGAACAATGTTTTTTTTGACCTTTTGTATCCACTTCTTTGATTTCTTCATTTATACCCAAATCTGACCCAAGCAAAATGGCCAAGAATATCAATAACTAGCTCATCTGTATGGGCTTTTAACTTACAAAGGCCAGTGTTTTTTTGAAATGGGCAACTTGCAAAAATATCTTTAAAATTAGATGTGTTTTGAAAAATGATATGAAAAGTTTTTAGGAAGTAAAAAATGCTGTGTAAAAAAAGTGACACAATGTTACTTTTTTATAAAAAAAAAATTGTCACTTTTTTTCACAAACTCAAAAAAAGTGACAAAATT